GGCACAAAACCCTATTGAGAGCTCTCGGCCGCTTACGGCGTAACCGTCACATGGTCGAACCGAGTCCGGGGCGGGTATTTAAGGAGCGGCGGCGCGCCTTCAGCACCACTTCGCTGTCCACGGTCCCGCAGAGCGCACGTCCAGGACGCACCGGCACCGGCTCCAGCTCCAGCTTCGAGACACAACAGCGTGCGACCCCGTCCGCCAACATGCCCCGGTCTTTCCTGGTGGATTCCTTGATTTTAAGGGAGACCAACGACAAAGGCAGCGACACCAGCTCCCCCGACGCGGTGCCCCCGGCGCCCCACCCGCCCCCCGCGCTGCCGGCCTCCTGTCACTCCAGGAAGGCCGGGCTCCTGTGCTTCTGCCCGCTGTGCATGACCGCGTCCCAGCTCCACCCGTCTCCACCCGCGCTGCCTCTGCTCAAGGCGTCGTTCTCGCCCTTCAGCTCACAGTACTGCCACTCCGCCCTGTCCAGGCAACACTCCACGGCCAACAGCGTCAACCTCAGCCACGGACCCGGGATTTACCAGGCGGCGTACACGGTGCCAGACCCGCGGCAGTTCCACTGCATCTCCATCGGTGAGTTGACGCGGACTTAAAATGTTGAATAAACCAATAAACAAAGTTTGAACAGAAATTTAAAAAAAAAATCCAACAGTTTCTAACGTCGCGTCTTTACCTCCACAGAAAACACCAACAGCAAACTTCAGAGCAGCAAACGCATGCGCACCGCCTTCACCAGCACACAACTCCTGGAGCTGGAGCGCGAGTTCACCTCCAACATGTACCTGTCCAGACTGAGGCGCATCGAGATCGCCACCTACCTGAACTTGTCCGAGAAGCAGGTGAAGATCTGGTTCCAGAACCGCAGGGTGAAGCACAAAAAGGAAGGGAAGGCGGCGGCGGCGGCGGCCAGAGGGGCGGCTCGCACGGCTGCAAGTGCTCGTCCCTGTCCACGGCCAGGTGCTCGGAGGAGGAGGAGGACGACATGCCCATATCGCCGTCCTCGTCCGAGAAGGAGGACGCAGACCTGTCTGTGTCTCCATGAACCGAATCGAACTGAACCGAACCGAATCGAACTCCTCCAGACTCTGAAAACTGCCAAAAAACAAAAGACAAAACAAAGACTGTTCTTTTTTGTGTCCAGACACCTGTACATAGAGAGAGAATATTTAATCAGGGCGCCCCCCTGAGGCACTGTATAGATGTATACTTGATGTACGTTTTTGTATGTAGTTTTTTTCTGAAAACGTTTCGCTGTAGCCGCTCCAGTTCGACTGTGACCGGCCGGTCTGTACAGACGACACCGGCCCAAAACGCACACGCCGTTTGGGTCCGAGTGAGTGTTCTGAAATACAGGGTGGAAACCGCCGGTATCGATTCATTCGATTCATGTGGATGGAATCGTGGCATCGTCAACATCAACAACAACAACAACAACACTGTCACATGACTGTGATATCTTCTGTGTCATTGAAAAATATTTATTTATTTAAAAATGCTAAATAAAAAATATTGCTGATCGTTACGTCATCTTTGTCGTGTGGATTCATGCAACAGACGGACCATTACGCACGGCGAGGACGCGCAGGGCGCGCGCGTGAACACTGAGTTTAAACTGAAAATAATTGAAATATATTCAAAGACATATATGAATAAACACATATACTGTGATACGACAATATGGTAAATATAATTAAACACTTTTAAGCACGAATTCTACAAATACGTAAATGACGCAACCGCTAAATTGTAGTGTGTGGATTTAACGTAGTGGATTATTTTAGACGTTATATATTTTTAAAACACACACACACATATAAAGTATATATATATATTACATTTAAAGAAAAAATATTTAAAATAAATTATTCGGTGACCTCAATAAAACAGAATTGGAGATTTTTACGCATTTGGAGACGTCGAATTTGATTTGTGCATTTTTTCCCCTAAATTTCCGAGTCTCATTCTGAGACCAGACCCTAATGTGTTCGGGCCTCAGTGGAGATCATTATTATCATCATCACTGAAGTGGAGGAGTAAATAAAACACTTCATCATCTTCATCCCTCAGAGCTGATGAAGACCAGCTCGTCCGTCCCCTCTTGTGCGCCCGTTCCCTCGGGGAGGGGGAAAACCCTCAGACACCAGTGCGTGTTTTCATCCCCCTGTCAGGGCCACGTCCACAGCTGAAGTGATCGGCCTCGTGTGACTGGGATAACGTGGTCAATCGACTATATGCATATGTGTTCAGATATCGATCTGACATGAAAACAAATGAGGCAGAGCCGCGGTGCGGTGTCCGTCACCCGCATTGTTCCCGGAGTGAACGCATGTGTGGCCGACTTTACTGAGGCTTTAATGAGCTGCAGGTGTTTCCACGACCCGGAGAAAGAAAAGAAAACACACCACAAATGTGGATTTCACACCAGGAAACACATGATTATTGATGAACAGGGATTATAATGATAACCTAGAGCCGTTGGAGCCGCAGATCGAGGTGGAACAGGAGCGCGACGTTTATTTATTCCATCTTCAAGTTTGAAAAAAAATAAATGTGTTTTAATGTGTTCCCTTTTTATTAACATGCTGTCACGTTTGTTCTTTGTTTGTTTATTTGTTTTAATTCCATAATATTTAAAAGTCACAAAGAGAAAAGCTCAACCTGAGTTTTCTTTTCAGTTGTTTTTTTTCATATTTAAAAGTCACAAAGAGAAAAGCTGAACCTGAGTTTTCTTTTCAGTTTTTTTTTCCAGCCGGTTTTACGCACCGCTCCACCTGCTGCCTGGACCGAGCTCTGTCTCTCTGGGTTAGATTTATGAGTTTTTACGGGCTTTTAATTTTATTTACATCCACAGAAAACCGACCTTTGTACATTTAAAGGGAATTAAAAACAGTTTTGTTTTTTTAAATCGCCGTGTTCGCGTCGCTCTGCCTCTGCCTCGGACGCGCGGTTCTCGCTGGTAAACGTTCACTTAATTGTTCATTTAAACATTTTAACCAAAGTCCAATATTTGCATTTGTTAAGATATGGGATTAGACTATTTTGTTAATTGCACCATGGAGCCCCATTTTGCTCACAACGTCCTCTGCAAAGCGCCCTTTATCCATTCAATAGCCCCGGGGTATGCGCCCTGGGGGAGCTTATACGCTGGCTGCTCCAAATGCTCAATTTATTTATTCTTAATTTTGTGCCGATCAATTCATTGAAGCAAAAAGGACCACGGTGTCCTTTTAGAAAGAAGAAAGGCGAATTGTGGACGTAACCTTGACGGAGCCGAGGAGAGGGCTCCCCTGACGCTGGAGAGCCGCTTGAGTCAACAGGCGCCCATCTAGCAGACTCGCCCTTGTCTTTATTCAGGCTAATTTTTTATTTACGGCTTTTCTTTGACATGTCTCTTATCTATCAGATTAAAAGAACAGCTTGTAACAAATCAGTCTGCACGATTTACAACAGCATTAAAAGGGGACAAAGGGAGCAGGCAGTCAGTACCTGAGAGTCTGGTAGACGGCGCGGCGCTGCAGCTGATTCGATGGTTTGAAAATACGCACGAAACAAAATACTTGAATCCTGAAAAAGAGCCTTTGTACGTTTCTTTAGAAATCAAGCAATTCTGCATGACAAAGGACAATTAATAAGCCGTCTTTTCACGACCAGCAGCTGGTTTCCCCGTCAAGGAAAGTTGGAAAAAATTCAGACTGAATGCGCGCAAAAGCCCTTTGCGCGCAGACAGCAACCCAAGGTGACCCATTTGGCACAGTTAAAATAACCAAGCCCCAGTAAAAGCGAGGGAACTGTCAAAAACATTTAAGCTGAAATATCTTGAAATTGCAAATCCCTTTATGTGGAGGGACGCTGCCGATGTGGGTTAGTGGTACAAAGGAGGTGGTTAAGTTGGAGAGGCTTTGGAAACGGACACGTGGCTTCTCAATGAGGGCTCTTTTGGACCCGCGTGGCTTGCTGTGGCACTGCACATTCAGTTCCACTTTAAACCCATCCTGCATAACAAACGCGCGCAGTAAAACCCACCGTGTTAAACCAACAACTTTAACTAAACACTTCATTCACTTTTAAACACTTTTAGTACATTTTTTATACGTGGTTCTTTACCTCGTTCCACGGCGGCTGCGGTCGCTGCAGCTCCGGGGCCGCGGAGGGTCTGAGGCAGGAGGAGAGGAGAGGAGAGGAGCGGGAAGATGTTAGAGGATTAGAGGATTTTAGTATCAATAAAAAAATAAAATACAACATTAAATAAATAACATGTAACAATGAAAATGATGTAGATTTTGTGGCTTTTTTAAAATCTGCTGCTGGTCATTATTATCACTGATCCGTTTGTTTTCACGAATTGCGTTGGAAAAAGTAATTTGTGACTGAAAATGAAAAAGATTAAAAAAAAAAAAAATAAACATTTTGTTTTTTGTAGTTCACACCTGCGCTGAGGTTTTCATTTTTGCAGCGCGTTCCCGTCTTAGAGACTGGAACCTGGAGAAAAGTTCCGAGTACGGTTTACTCTTTTTCTATGTATTTATATGTTAGTAAATACACGTGGTAAATATGACGTGAGAGAGTACACGAGCCAAGGGTGTAGTGGTGACAAATCTACTGTAGTGCAGCAAAGAAAGGAGGCGAGAGGAGAGGATAGGTGAGGAGAAAGGGGAGAGAAAAAAGAGGGAGGAGAGGAGAGAAATGAGAAGACAAGACAAAAAGTACAAGTGAAGTAAAGTACAGAGGAGTAACTAAAGTATAGATAAAAGAAAGAAGAGGAGAGGGGAGGAGAGGAGGAGAGGGGGAGGAGAGGGGAGGAGAGGGGAGGAGAGGCCAAGCCGCTGCTCTCTCCCTTCACCGTCTCTTCTCTTCTTCCTCTTTGCTGCCACATTAGAATCCGTTCATCTGAATATAATGTGTTTAACAGCTAATCGGTAATGTAAGATGAAGGAAGAGCAGCAGCTCCTCTCCCTCACCCCTTCTCTCTCCCTCACCCCTTCTCTCTCTCTCCCTCTCTCTGCTCATTGAATATTCAACGCGCGCACCGTTGGCCCTGCTCGCCTTTTTCAGTGCGCTGAGAAAAAAAAAAAAAAACGCCTTTCTAATTCTCAGTCAAACACAGGCCGGGGTCAAAGGTCGGCAAATAATGAACTGCGCAGACATGGAAGTGACCCCTGCAGCGGCCAGGCCGCACAGTGAACGCAGCACCAGGGGAATTCTGGGATCGGAACTCAGAACTTTGTTGTCTGAGTGTATTGAAAAGTTCTGTTCTGAAGAGCGACGGTGAAGCGGGACTTGGACTCAGATGACGGTTCGGAGTGACGGAAAGCGAGGACCGGAAAAAGTCGTTCGTTAATATTAATGAATTAATTCAATATCTGAGAACCAGCAGTTAAACAACAACATCAACACACACACACACACATATATATTTGAAATATTATGACAAAGTACTTCCGGCTCCGTCGGACGGACGGACCAGACACAAACACCGAACCACGCAGAGGTTCGGTCCACGTCAGAGAGAGTGTGACGTCACTACGTTTAAACCCACCTGCAGACTTTTCCAGCACTCCCCCTCCGTTTATCTCGCTCCACGGCGTCGGATCCCACTGAGTAGAACTGGAGCGTCACCTGGTGGCGAAATAGAAAATTTCCGTTCACAATTTTCGTTTGTCTCATTCGACACAGAGCAGAATTTATCAGGGTATTTTATAACACTTGAACTTAAAATAGAAATTAAATAATATTTAAAAAATTAAAAAAAAAATTTGAGCAGAATTTATCAGGGTATTTTATAATAATAGAAATAAAATAATAATTAAAAAAATAAAGTCTAAAGTAAACAAACAAACTGTAATCGAATCAGTGAAAACTCAGTAGGGAGGAGCTCAGTGTTTTTCAACCTCTGGGTCGCACCCCTATACATGGCCTTTTAGTTGTTAACATTTTTTTTTTAAATTAAAATTTTGATAAAATTAATCTCAAAGTTAAAGTGTTAAGTGCAGATAATTTTCCCTGCGGTTTGACTCAAGAAAAAAATATTCCGAAAAACTGCATCAGAGGAAAAGAAAGTTCCAGGTCTCTGGTGCTACTGAGCCAGAACCAATGGGTTTTCTAGACTTTTATTCCCATAACGTTTGTCATAACACATGTCCCGACATCCTCTGTACATCCTGCCTCCATCAGGCAATAATTAAAAAACAAAACAAAACAACTGCTGTTCTAATGTTAGCCACGTCTGTTGATCTCCAGGTCGACCGACACGACACTGTCTCCGCCAACAGACCGGTAAAAGTTCACGAGGAAAAAAAATAAAAATAAAATAAAATCTGCATTAAAAATGAAACTGAAATCAACTGATAAAAGAAGAAAAAAATCATCAACTTCAACTTCCCTCACATCCAGTTTGAAATCAACTGATAAAAGAAGAAAAAAAATCATCATCTTCAACTTCCCTCACATCCAGTTTTTACATCAGGTCCACAAGAACCAGGACAGGAAGTAGAAAACACACACACACACTCTCACACACACACAGGCCAGAGATCAGTGTGTGAGTCAAAGCACCATCGACATCCAAACACACGACATCCAACAGTCTGTCAAAAACAGTCAGTCAGACTCCAGTTATTCATCAGAGCAGCAACTCCACGACTGAACCTCGGAACACACACACACGTCCCAGACATGAGGCCCACGTGGGCCGCTGTACAAAACAGACCCGGGATGGAAAAGGATCAGATCTGTGTACGAACGTGTTCAAGTCCAGTCATCGGTTCCTGTTCCTGTTCCTTTAACAGAAACTGTTCTCCATCTTTGTCACAAATCAGTAAATTCTTCTTTTTTTTAAATACTGCCATAAAAAACAACCAAAAAAAAAATCAGAAAAATAAAATCCTTCCACAAATCAGTAAATTCTTCTTTTTTTTTTTTAAATACTGCCATAAAAAAACAACCAAAAAATAATCAGAAAAATAAAATCCTTCTGTGTGTAAATAACAGCTGATCCAGTTCAGTCAGAGTAGAGAGTTTTTTTTATATATTTATATATATTTAAACATGTTACTTTTACAGTAACATACAGTAAAAGACATCACCAGCTTCAAGTTTACCAAATCAACCAGACTTTGGTGATAGATCTGACCTGTTGACCTGTCGACCTGCTGACCTCTTGACCTGACCCTAACTCACCACCTCATCAGATTATAACTAGAACTGTCAAAACGAACCACGTCTAACGAGATCAACGGTAAATTACTAACCTGCAGTCGACACACACACACACACACACCATGTCATTTACACACAAAACAATAGTATTTACAGAGTAATATATTAAAGCTGTGAAAAATCCTGTGAATTAATTTGTAATTAATTCATCAGAGTAACAACGTTAACGGACACAGAACGACAGGAGCTCGTCAACGCAGTCGAAACACACGATGTTATTTACACACACTGTGGTAAAAAAAAAAAAAATCCCATCATCAACTCCCAGTATGTGTTTGTTGAGGCTCAACCTCAGGTCAGCGGGCCCGGGTTGTGTCAGAACAGCGTGACTCAGACGGATTGTTGAGGACATTTGGATTAGTCACACGTAGAAACAGGTGAGAAACACTGACCCCTACCTGCTGTTAATGGTCTTTCTGTTGCAGCAAAATACAGAGGAAATATTTAAATATATGTCACATTTTTAAAAAAAATGCTGAATAATCTCCACACCAGTCATGATCAATCACGGGAGACTTCGATCGTGATTAGTCCAGATTACCAGATTATTTGACAGCTCTAGTTATAACAGTGACAGTGACGCCTCAATCTGACCTCTGACCTCCAACCAACAGGATCTTCAGAGAGCACTTCACTGACAATTGGAGGAAATCGAATTGCGTTCCATGTGCCGCTACAATTTGACCAACCACAGGTGAGAAGAAAAAAAAAACAAAACACTGTCGTTCCCATGGCAACCAGCCATTTAAAATGCATTGGATGAGAAGCGACAGTGAAACTGCAGCTGTGGTCACGCACTGAGCAGAGATGAATGAATTATTTTAATATAAAAAACAAAAAGTCTGTTTATAAAACTGGAGAAAATAATAGGGTTGAAAATAAGACTTGATATGAAAATGTTCAATTTAAAAAAAAATTAAAAATTTGGACTAGAAATTGTCTCAGAATTTTTGTAAAACTTTTGTAAAAATATTCAAACCCAAATCCAGTTCTTTCCACTTCAGTAGTGTCTCATCATGACTTTGAACCCCCGACCTTCTGACTAAGGTGCACCCTCCCTAACCCACTGATCCATATGTATCTTTATTTCCTTCATGTTCACTTATATCTACTAATTGCACCAACAAGCAGCAGAATAATAACAAAAAAAAACCAAAAAAAAAACCAAAGATCCGTCAACGTTCACTGAATCCTTCACGATTCCTTCAAAACGACTCGGAGCCTGTGATTTGACCACAGGTCGTCCGACAGCGTCGGGAGGGAGAACCCGTCTCCTCGTCACCGTCACTCGATCTGCCTGTGGCTCCTGCTGTCAAATATCATGGAGCGCCGCTGCGGCTGGTAGAAGCAGCTGGTGGACGTCTCCAGCCTCTGTCCACTTTTGGGGATGGTCATCTTGTTCTGGAGAGGAATCCCGTCCGCCGCCTTCAGACTCTCCGCGGACAACACGTTCACCGCCGGCGCGTCCCTGATGGAGGACAGGAGCTTCCCGTCGTCCCCCGATGACGGGTAGTCCATGATGGGGAAGGGGGGGCTGAGCAGGATGAGACTCTGAGGCCTCTGCCTGTTCCTGAAGGACGGCCGCTGCAGAAGGCTCCCCCTGCTGGCTCTGGGACAGTCCACGAACACCTCCAGACTGGGGGCGTGTCTCCTGATGATGACCGGCAGCTCTGGGGGAGACGTGGCCTTCACCCCGGCCTCACCCGTCTTCTCCACCTGCGTGTGTTTCTGTGCTCTGGGCTCCTTGTTCTCCAGCTCCTCCCTCAAGTCCGACATCAGCTGAGGGGGCGCCGACGGGCTTTTCTCCGCAATCACCTTGGAATATTCCTTCTCCGGTTCCCTGGACACGTCGCCCTCCTTCTCCTGTCTGGAGGGGGGGATCAGACTGTACTGCACCTTGGGGGCGACGACGGGCACGGCCTTGGCCTGACACGTTTTGATCATGAGCGGCGTCCGCACCGAGGAGACGCTGACCGGGGCGGAGTTCCGACGCAGAGGCGCCTGCCGATCGTTCAAGAACATCTCCAGGTCCGAGGGCGGAGCGTTGTTGACGGAGCCGGAGGACGTGGTCAGTCCTCGGTGGCTCAGGGAGAACTCCGACAGGTGGCGGTTCTGCTGGTTGGAAATGTCTCTGATGCACCTGTAGCCCAGGTCCAGGTTCAGGGAACACGGCCGGTGTTTGGGAAAACTGTTCTCCTCCCTTTTCTCCGGAGCAGAACCTTCGTGAGACGTCTGTCTGTGGAACCGATGAGACGGCGCCGGGTTCTTCTGTTTGGTTCCGCTGCATTTCCCTGTGTGAGGCTGCGTTGCGTTAGCGTGGACCCGAGACGGCGCCGAGGACAAATATCTCCATTTAGTATCCGGTTTGGAGCTGGACGTCTGAGGGACGCTCTCCGGGGGACACTCGGGGTGTTTGTCGTTTCCTGTCGGAGGAGGCGAGGTCGTCGGGGCCTC